AGATTAAGCGTTGGAACTCGAACTCTCTTTTTGGTTGGAGAGAGCTGTGGCGTTTCCCTACTGCCCCGTCGCCATCTTGGTCCCCCCTCCCAATAATTTTTTAAAGACAACCATAATAGCATGCCATAAGTTGTTTAAAATTTATGAATTGTATATTTCTTGAATATTCCATGTACTATATATACACTGCAGTAGACAGCAGAGAAAAGAAACTGTGAAAAATAAAACTATTGGTAAGGGGAAAGTTACACATGAGTAAATTCTAAATATCAGTAAAGAGACAAAACATAAAAACAAATGAAAATTGTAGAAATAAAAAGGAAAATAACTGAAATACATACAAACAAACTACAGAAATTCAAAGGCACATTTCAGCAAACTATAGAAACAATCAGTAAACAAACATGGACCAATAGAAACCAAAAAGTTGAAGAACAGACAAAAGCATTTCAGAAAAGTGATCAGTTGTAATGCCCTGTGGACACCATCAACCAGGGCAACATAGCAATGCAGGAATACTGGGAGAGGAGAGGAAAGGGGGCAAGAAAACACTAAAGGAAATAATGGCATGAAATTTTCTGAGTTAATGAAGGACAATAAAAGAAGTACCCAAGAAACTCAACCTATAAACAGAAAAGATAAAGGAAACCTACACCAAACACATGAAAATCACACCAAAACAAACAAAAGATTTGACAAGCAAGAGCAAAGGGACCACCTGCAAGCAATCTTGAGTAAGGCTATGAGAGGACTTCGTATCACAAACTTTCTTTGCTATCATGAAATAAGAAGTGTTGGCACATTGCAGGGTGCCAGAGCCTCATGCCTGTAATCCTAGCAACTCAGGAGACCCTCAGGAAATCTGAGGATCACAGTTCAAAGCCAACCCAGACACAAAGGTTCATGAGAATCTTATCATCAGTTGACCTCCAAGCCAGAAGTACATATGTGGCTCAACTGCTACAGCACTAGCCTTGGACAAAAAAAAGCTCAGGGATGACCAGGTGCCATTGGTTCATGCCTGTAATCCTAGCTACTCAGAAGGCTGAGATCTGACTATCACAGTTCAAAGCCAGCCGAGGTAGGAAAGTCTGTGAGACTGTTATCTCCAATTAACTTCCAGAAAACCAGAAGTAGAGCTAAGGGTCAAAGTGGTAGTGCTAGCCTTGAGCAAAAAAGCTCAAGGACATGCCCAGGCACTGAGTTCAAGGCCCCATGACCTATTTAAAACAATTCTCACTGCTGCACCCAGGCCCTGGACAGCATCTTCCTTGCAGACAAGGAACCTTAAATGCCATAGTGCAACCACTTATTAAAGGACTCAGAATATACGGTTTTACAGATTGACATGGAAAGAGGATTGCTCTCTCTTGCTCACTTGGCTCTTTCTCACTCCCTGCCTCCCCCCCCCACTCCTCTCCCCTCGCCCCCGTCTCTCTCCCTCCCTCCTTCATTTTTTGTGGTACAAAGTTTGAACCAATGTGCTACCACCTGAGCCAAGCCCCCCAACCCTTTATGGTTTATTGTCTCAGATAAGTTCTTGACTCATTTGCCCCAACAGCCCTCAAATCTCAATCTTCCTGAAGTACACCTGTGGAATACCTGGGATTATAGCCTTTCACTACCATGCCAGGACTTAATACTTTCTGCTTTTTTTTTCTTTCCAGTAACAGAGTTTGAACTCAGGGCTTTAAGCCATCTGACAGCTCTCTTGCTCCTACATGGTACTCTGCCACTATGGGCACATCTACAAGCCTAGCTTTTTACAGGTTAATTGGAGATGGAGTCTCTCAGACTTTTCTGCCCACGCTCACTTCCAAACACCATCCCTTTCAAATATCAACCTCCTGAGTTGATATTTGAAGGACTAAAGACATGAGCCACAGGCACCTGGCTTAAACACACATACCAACATATACTTTTAAAGCAAACATAAGCACAAAGCCTAACTTCAAAGTGGCTGCCTTTGGCAGTTGGGTTAATTGAAATGGGAAGAGGGCTTCCATTTTCTCTGTATTCAAAATTTTTAGTACTAACATATATAGACCAGAATGCCAAAGACAGGGCTGTAGATCAAATGGTAGAGCCTAACCTTGAGCAAAAAACAATAAAAACAAAAACAAAAAAACAAAACAAAACAAACACCTCAGGGATAGCACCCAAGCCCTGAGTTCAAGCCCAAAGAGCAGCACAAGAAAAAAAAAAAGAACATTGAGATATACCTGTCTAAATTATTGAGATATATCCAATCAAATTTGAGCTTAAATATCTTTTTATATTATTTCTAGCTACCTTACTAATAATAGCAAAAGGAACTATATTGTAATTCAACTAGGTATGTATTATGGGAAGAAAATGAATCCCTGTCTTTATCTCTTAACAAATACAATAGTATGGGGTTCACTGACCTAAATGTAAAATTAAAACTATTAACACTTGGATAAAAAATGTAAATGGAGCTTTTCACAACCTTAAAGCTGTCAAAAGATAAGACTAGAAAGTATTATTGAAAATATGATAAGCTGGGCACTAGTGGCTCACACCTGTAATCCTAGTTACTCAGGAGGCTAAGATCTGAGGATGGCAGTTTAAAACCAGCCCAGGCAGTATAGTCCCTATGAGATTTTATCTCCAATTAACCACTCAAAAAACAGAAATGGAACTGTGGCTCAAAGTGATAGAGCACTAGTCTTGAGCAAAAGAGTTCAGGGACAGTGCTAAGGCCTTGAGTTTAAACCCCACAACTGACAAAAAAATTTAAGAACTTTTTAGAAAAGCTCAAACTGGGAAAATAAATAAGTTGTATTTTTACATCATAATGCATGTAGAAAGCATACTTAAAAATATTCTTCTATTATAGTATGAATGACATATACTATTACTTGAATTTCTAGGAATAAATTCCCAATCATTAGAAAGTAACTGGAAAATTATACCATATACTGACTCTAAGAGAAAATGATAAATATGACAATACTTTTTCATTTAGTAAAGGTAGTTTAATGTAAGACCAATTTTTGAGCATATTTTTTAAAACAAGTAGAAGGATTTCTGAGTCATGGAAACATGTCTTAAAGGTTAACAATTCTCTTTTAAATTTTTCTTTTTTATTATACATTGTGTGTTTATTCTTTTTATCAGTGTATATCAATTGTACAGAGTAACGGTTTTCATTGAGAAATTTTCACACATTTATGATGTATCCTCCATTACCTTCTTTTAAAAAAATTTTAATTGATATTATAAAGGTGATGTACAGAGGGGTTACAATTACATAATCCATTACCTTCTTACTCCACCCTTCTCCTTCCCATTCTCATCAGTCTCCTTTCTCTTCCCCAGCAGTCCCTCTTATACTTGCATGTCTCTTTTTTTCTGTTCCTCACAGTGCTCTCCCCTTTTTGTTAAACCAGACTGAATCAAGCAATAAACAATTCAATAACTGGTCTTTGATTTATTGATGGACATGTTAAACAAATTATCAAAAAAAGGTTAAGAATACCGGAATAAAAATTAAACCATGAGCAGCTCCAAATAGCATAACAAGAAACATAATCTTAAAGAATGTCCTGAAGATGTACGCTTTAGCTGCAGCTAAAACACATACTCCTATTATTGTTGAGATGGCACTTTGTAGCACTGGATAACCTAACATATACAATGCATCAGTTGCTTTTCCATTTACTGTGGTCTTGGAACTGGAAACAAATGCATAGGAGATGTGTGCAGAAAAATCAAAAGAAAATCCTATACAAATGACAAGATTAATCATGGATATGGAATCAAGATTGACTTTCCAGAATGCCATGAAACCTGTTACTCCCACAATCACAGAAGCAATGGCAAAAGTTACCCATATGGAGCACACTGGATGAGGAATTAACAGTAGGGAAACTATGAACATAGCTACTGATGCAACTATGACATTTCTAACAGTGTTTTCTAGTACGGCAGCAAACTGATCAAAGTATATGAATGCCTGGTTGTACACCATTAGGGGAACTTCACATTTGTCAGCTATGTCTCGTAATTGGAGTAACATTAGCTTCTTACTTTTGGAGGAAGAAACACTCATAACTTGAATGAAACCCCGGGAAGAAGTGATTTCATTTGATGAAGAAACATTAACATCATATGTAAAAATTGGAAACGTACTTAAAAAAACAGAAAGGTTGTCCAAAAAAGTTTTCTTATTATTAATATCCTGACTGCTATTTTTCATGTATTTTACATATTGCCGCAACCAAAACTCTGTGAGATTTTTATCTACATAGCTATTTTCTTCAAACTTTATCAGACATTTTTCTAATTCTTGCCTTACATCTTCATCCCAATAGTTAATATTTTCAGTAACAATAACCATAACCCTGGGACCATACTCTGAAAAATAATCTTGCTCTATGTTAAAATACGGTATGATATAGGAATCATCGCTTGCCAGATTTCGAAGGTCTAAACCCTCTTGCACATGGAAACACCCATATATGCTGCTTATGATGTACAAAATATATGTCAACACTACAAAAAGCTTACACTTGGTGGTTGTGAGAAAAGGACCAAAATAGTCTCTAAAAAACAAATTCATTGGATGGTTATCAGCTCCATATTCATCAGGGACAGACCCAAGTGGGAAACAGCAGGTCTTTTTGAGTGAGGCATATTTGGGGTCTGGCTTTTTCACCCAGTGCAAGCATCCTACTTCTCTTCTACCATCTAGAGCCATAACTGCCCCAAAACAGGTGATTTTATAACAATAACAAAATACTAGGGTTGTTCCTGTATAGATGCAAAAGTACTGTACGGACCTGAAAGAGCTCATTATACCAGTATAGAAGGCGAGTACATTGGTGATGGTGGTAATTGTAATGGACACGGCCACCTTTGAATACACACTGGAAAGCCGTTCTCTTACGGTAACCAGGAGGCTGGTCTTCTGCCAGGCAGAAATCATGATAAACATGTCATCAACCCCAACTCCTGGGAAAATAAGAAACAAACTCATCATACATATTAATGTACATCAAGTGAATACATTGACCATTTTATTTTTCTATGTTAAGCCCTTACTTGTCTTCCCCAGTCTCTGCTTGAACACTGTCTTCCCTGTAACGTTCTCTCAGGTTGTTTCTAGATTCACAACAGAATTTGTCATTCCTTCCTCTGTTGTCAGTCTTTGCTCTGTACATGCTCCTATAATTTTACACATACCAAGACATACTCTAGTCCTCAGATGTTTTAGTAATTAGATCTGAAAACCAGGCTGATGGTTAGTTGAAACAGTATTAGCAGTATGTATCATTGATTCCATTAAATTCCATGAAAGATCACTTTTGTTCATAAGTTCTTTCACGCTAATGTACAAACACATCCAGCCAAAATTCTCTTGCTTAAAATAAGCTGGATATATATGCTTACAGTTAGCATCTGGCTATCTATGTGGTAAGATCTGAATGGTATCACATAGTTTATAGCATACACAGAGCTCATGCATGTTCACAAACATGGTTTTCTTACTGGCCTGTTTCTGAAACTTAGAATGTGATTATTCAAACTTCAATCTAGCAGGTTACATAAGGTATCAGCTCACTGCTCCAGAAGCTAGTAAGTACTCTGCTTCTTACTTTTTGTAGTGGTAGGAGTCAAACCCAAGTCTTCATACATGCTAGGCAAGTACTCTGCAACTGAGCTGTGCTGCCAGCCCTGAGTGCCCCTGAATCAGAAGCACTACCAAAATAAATCTTAAGAATCCTTGCAACAAAATAGAGGAACAAAGGGTAAACAAATGCAGCAGAGGTACTTACTCACTACATACTATGTTGAAAATAAACTATGCAACTCGTAGGTGAGGGTGGGAGGGAAAAACTAGGAGAGCAAGGCCAAAGGGTGACATTGTCCAAAAAGAGATATACTCTACCTGATTTGTGTCACTGTAACCCAGTGCATATCACCTTTATAATAACAATTTAAAAAATTTTTAAGAATCATATATGCCTGGTACCACCAATGGCTCACGCCTGTAATCCTAACTACTCAGGAGGCTGAGATCTGAGTATCATGGTTCAAAGCCAGCCCAGGCAGGAAAGTATGTGAGACTCATCTCCATTAACCGTTCAGAAAACCAGAAGTGGTGCTGTGGCTCAAGCTATAGAGTTCTAGCCTTGAGATGAAGAGCTGAGGGACAGCACCTAGGCCCAGAGTTCAAGCCCCATGACTGACAAAAAAATTATATACTTCTGGCTTTTTCTGATTATGTGGTGCTGAGGAATCGAACTCAGGGCCTCATGCATATAAGGCAAGCACTCTACCAGTGAGCCACCTTCCCAGCCCGATTTCTCCATTTTTAACTTGCATCCTTGATTGAGAAGTCAAACACTGTTCTCATATTTTCAGTAACTTATATTTTGGCTTTATATATATAAACTGCTATCCATATTCCCTATTTATCTGCCCAAAAGTGATGCTAAATTATTTTCCAAATCTAAAGATACATAATTCATCTTGATTTTTCCTATTTCCTATTTGAGATTCATGCTCCCTTTGGATCTATGCAGCTACCTACATAAAATGTATTTCCTTATCTACTCAGCACCTCCCTCCCCCCACACTCACATACATCGTACAGCCTCACATTTTATTTACTCACCTAGAATAAGAAACGGGGAATTGGCAACTATGATCACAAATGGCACACCAATGTGCAACATCAGGCCAAAGCCACTCACCACTGCCATGGCAACATTAAACACTCCAAAAACTGCAACTCCCATTTTGGTTCGTATACAGTTCAACCTGTAAATTTGGAATGAAAATAATCACAAAATCTGGGGTGGTGGCTTACCTACTGAAATTCCACCAATTGATACCATTCTTTACTTGGATATCTACAGTCATAAGCCTTTGGACTAATAATGTATACGTGTGTCTGTTTGTCTGCTGGTATCTTGAAGCCTGCAAGAACTATACCATACCAACTGTCTAAAAAGAAAGAGGAAGAGGTGGGCTGGGAAGTGGTAGAGTGCTTGCCTTGCATGCATGAGGCTCTAGGTTCGATTCCTCAGCACCACATAAGCAGAAAAAGCTGGAAGCGGCCCTGTGGCTCAAGCTGTAGAGTGCTATCCTTGAGCTGAAGAGCTGAGGGACAGCACTCAGGCCCAGAGTTCAGGCTCCAGGACTGACCGGAAAAAAAAAAAAAAAGAGGAGAAGGAGGAAGAGAAGGCGGCGGCAGAAGAGGAGGAAGGGGAGACAGAAAAATAGGCAATCTGCGTATTTACTAAACTTTCTAGATGGTTCTTATGCAGCTAGCCAAGCACTATTCCACAGACTAACATTTCAGAATCATAAAGATTTACTGAAACTCTGCAGATGATTAATTTGATTAACTTTATATTGATAAGAAGAGGAATGTGGGCTGGGAAGATGGCTCAGTGGTAGAGCGCTTGCCTTGCATGCTCGAGGCCCTGGGTTTGATTTCTCAACACCACATAAGCAAAAAGAAAAAAGCCGGAAGTGGCGCTGTGGCTCAAGTGGTAGAGCGCTAGCCTTGAGCTGAAGAGCTGAGGGACAGCACCCAGGCCCAGAGTTCAGGCCCCACGACCGGACTCCCCCCACCAAAAAAAGAGGAAAGTGAGTTGGAATGCAGCAGTAATGGAGGGTGTCTTGATCCATTTTCTGTTGCTTGGCAAAATCCCTGAGGCTGGGAATTTATAAAGAAACATAGTAGATGACATCATGGTAGGGGAGGAAGAGAGGAAAAGAGAGAGGAAGAAGAAGAAGGAAGAGGAGGAGGAAGAGGAGGAGGAAGAGAAGGAGGAAGAGGAGGAGGAGAAGGAGAAGGAGAAGGAGAAGGAGAAGGAAGGAGGAAGAGAAGAAGGAGAAGGAGGAGGAGGAGGAGGAGGAGGAAGAGGAGGAAAAGGAGGAGGAGGAAGAAAGAGCACTCAAGCAAGTCAGGAAAAGACTCAGAAGCCAAATTTCCTTAAAAAAAAAAAAAAACTTGTCACAGACCTAACTAGGTCCCATGAGAACTATATTAATCCCTTCTGAAAGCCACAACCCAAAAACCTAACCATTTTACAAGCAGGCCCCATTTCATGGAATTTCATCACCTCTTAACACTATCACACCAGAGCCAACCTTTTGCACACAAACGGTTGGGGATGCATTCTTATCCAGTTATCTTTCTACCCTACCTGTGATCCTTATTTAGCCATAATCACAGTATTATATAGCTCCTACAGTTCAAAGCTAGTATAATGTATACTGTGTTATATAAAGTTTTTGTCTGTTACTCTTGTTCAGATTTTCACTTCATTTTAAATCATGTGTATGTCTATAACAATTTATGCATTTCACCTAAGTTATTGTTTATTAGCATACAGTTGTTCATAGTATTATTATCATAATTATGTCTCCCCTATCATATCTGTTTATTTCCATCTGATCTCCTTTTTGTTTCTCTATAACAAATGTTGGTTTGGTTAAATGTTGTTGTTTATCTAGTCTACTTTATTTATCTCTTCTTGTACATTTTATTAGCACACATCATGCCAAGTTTCACTGTTGTCTTTCTGCACATGCTCAGAATATACCCCTTTTTTACCCTACCTTTCTCAATCTCCCTTTAAGCATCTTTCTTACAATTTATTTTTAATGGGCTTCATTAAGGCTTTTTCCCTTTTTCCTCTCTTTCCCCCTCCCACATCCCAATGACTCTCCCTTACAATGGACCCCCTCATTTGTGTTTGTGCCATTTTTTATATCTAGACTATGCATATCAGAGAATTCATGCAATATTTGTCTTTTTGAGTCTAACTTATTTTGCTTAACATGATGATCTCTATTTTTATTCATCTTCCTGCAAATGTCATTATTGCATTCTTCTTTATGGCTAAATAATAATCTATACTGTATGTATATTACATTTTCTTCATATACTCAGCTATTGATAGGCACCCAGACTTATTTTAAACTTCACCATTGTCAATTATGTCACAATAAACACAAGTGTACAGAAAAGTCTACTCTGTGCTGATACAACAGAGTACTATAATTTTAAATGTTTTAGTTTTGAGGAGCCTTCTATTTACACAGTAGACAAACTGATTTACATTCCCAACAACAATGTAAAACCCTCCCCCCTTGTCTCCACATCTTTTCAGCATTTGTTTTCTTTTTTTTCTTTTTTTATATGCATGTGTGTGTGTGTGTGTGTGTCTGTGTGCGTATACTGGAGCTTGAATTCAGGGCCTGGGCAAGGTCCTTTAGCTTTTTCATTCAGAGCTATTTTTTTTCCACTCAAACCACAGTTCAACTTCTAGTGATTTGGTGGTTAGTGGGAGATAAAGAGTCTTGTGGACTTTACTGCTCAGACTGGCTTTAAAACATGATCCTAGGATCTCAGCTTTCTAAGTAGCAAGGGTTATATGCATAAATATTAGTTGTATTTCTATACATGTGCTCAATCCAAAAGAGAAGAAATTTCATCTAAATAACTCTAAAAGAATAAAATATATAGGAATTCAACCAAGAAAGTGAAAGAAACTGAAGACCAAAATAAACATAAAGCTCTTTTAGTTAAGAAGAGTTATTACTGCTTAAAAATGGGCAATCCTGCACAAAATAATCTACATTTTCAACTTGATCTCTGATCCCTCTCTCAAAATTCCAACTGCCTTTTTATTCAGAAATGAAAGTCATTGAAGTGGGTGAACTTCGGCCAAGTCCCAGTGGCTCAAGCTTGCATCCCTGCTCCATATACAGGCATCTCTTGAGATAACTGGCACAAGCACCGCAAAACTGGGGCAAAAGGAAGCCCTACCAAAGAAGTGGAAATATAAGCTGGGATGCCCTGCCACCAACACCAAGATTGGCCCACATTGCATATACACAGCCTGAGTTCCAGGTGACAACAAGAAATACTGTGCTCTGAGGCTGGGTGTGAGCAACTTTCCCTGGGACTCTGACTATAAAACAAGGATCACTGATGTCCTCTGCAATGCATCCAATAACAAGCTGCTGGTGAAGAATTGCAATGTGCTCATGGACAGAACACTGTATTGGCTGTAGTATGAATCCTACTATACACGGTCCTTGGGCCGCAAGAAGGGGGCAAGCTGACTCCTGAAGAGGAAGAGATTTTAAACAAAAAGCAATCCAAGAAAATTCAGAAGAAATATGATGACGGAAAAGAATGCCAAAATCAAGCCAATGTGGCCAGTGCTAGAAGGCAAGAAGCTGTAATTCTATCTGACGAAGATCAAGGCCTGGAAAGGCAAATAAAGTCGTCTACCACCGCCTCCCCCTCCCCCCCCCAAAAAAAAAAGAAAAAAAGAAAAGAAATTAAAGAGTCAGCACTCAAAATCATATGGAGTTGCAAGAAGCCTTAACTGGACAAAAAATAATTTAGAAAAAAAACAAAATATGAGCACTCAATACTAGTCAGACATAAGAAGGAATGAAGCTCTGATACATGTTCCAACATGGATATTGAAAACATGCTGAGTGGATTAAGCCTGCTTAAAAGGACAAGTTTCTAGAATAGGTAAGTAAATATCAATAGAAATTGATTAAAGGGGCTGGAAGGGGGCTCAGGGGTAGAGTGCTTGCCTAGCATGCATGAAACCCTGGGTTTGATTCTTCAGTACCATATAAACAGAAAAAGCCTGAAGTGGCACTGTGGCTCAAGTGGTAGAGCGCTAGTCTTGAGCAAAAGAAGCTCAGGGGCAGTGTCCAGGCCCTGAGTTCAAGCCCCAGGACTGGTAAAAAGTAAAAAGAAATTGATTAAAGCTTCACTAGGACTGAGGGAGAGGATTTTGAGGGTTAAAACAGTTGTATAGCTTCACAACAGTGTAGACATGAAAGCACTGAATTTATACTTAAAAAGTATAATGTGCTAGCCAGGCACCAGCGACTCACACCTGTCATCCTACTCAGGAGGCTGAGATCTGAGGATCGCAGTTCAAAGACAGGAATGTCCATGAGACTCTTTATCTCACCTTGACTTACTTTGAGCTGAAGAGGGCAGGGACAGCACCCAGGCCCAGAGTTCAAGCCCCATGACCAAAAAAAAAAGTATAATGTTAATTACATTATACTTATAATCTGTTTATTACATTATACTTGAGTTATATATATGTATTATGTACATATATGCATATTAAATACAATTTGTACTCACCCATAGTCTATCACAATTTTTTGGCACCATAAGAAGTGAAAATGTGAAACTCTTACCTGAAACATGATATGATTGCAAACAGTATGATTAAAACATATGCCATGTGAAACAAGGGGATCACTGTCATAGAAGTTGCCTCAAATTCCAGCTGTCTGGAAAGTGATGTAAAGTAGACCACCTGCAACAAACAAAGTTAGGAAAATAGTTTTCAATTCCAGTATTTGATATGTTACACATTGTCTTGAAACACTTCAACTTATCGGCAGAAACATGTTAAAAAATGAAATATCGGGGTTGGGAAGGTGGCTCAGTGGTAGAATGCTTGCCTTGCATGCATGAGGCCCTGGGTTCAATTCCTCAGCACCATATAAACAGAAAAAGCCAGAAGTGGTGCTGTAGCTCAAACGGTAGAGCACTAGCCTTGATCTGAAGAGCTGAGGGACAGTGCCCAGGCCCAGAGTTCAGGCCCCAAAACTGACAAAAAAAAAAAAAAGGAATATCAAGACTTGTGGAATTTTGGAACAGAGAAAATTATGTAGGTCTGCTTCTTCCCACAAAATCTGTGTTGTACTTTGAAAGTTCTTTCAAAACCAAAAGTTGAAAATACACCAGAATTAGATTTTACATGAAACTGAAAATTAATAACTGTGGAACTGGTGGCTTTCCTAAATTTTTAACTGATTGACATTTTAGTATTTTAATTGCATAAACATCATTTCACGATGGCCTGGTCTCCTCCATGGGCTTTTTCCGATAGCTCTCGCATTCGTCAGATTTATTTATGACTTAGTAGTGTTGCTAGCTCCAATTTTTTTTTTTTTTTTGGTCAGTCGTGGGGCCTGAACTCTGGGCCTGGGCACCGTCAGCTCTTCAGCTCAAGGCTAGCACTCTACCACTTGAGCCACGGTGCAACTTCCTGCTTATGTGGTGCTGAGGAATCGAACCAGGGCCTCCTGCGTGCGAGGCAATTTCTTAGGAGGTGTTGTGTCTCACACTACACAGGGCCTGCCTATAACTGGCCTGGCCCTGCTGCCTGGGGTCTGTGTTGGGTGGGCTGGTGGCAGGACTCGGCCATTTCAGAGCCACTTGGTTAGAAATCAAATCCTGCTTAAGCAAGGAGCCGCTCTGCACAATGTCTACGTCGCTGGTTTGGGTTTGCGCAGCGGCTTCGAGACACGGTCCCTGTCCGTTGTAGAAAGGTGGGCTGAGGGCCAAGCACCACGCGAACGGCGGCTCGGTGCCAGGTGCCGTCAAGTAGTTAGGGCGCCCCGATCCCCTGTCCCGTGGCACCCTGTCCTCGCGGGCCCCCCCTTCCAGTGCCCCGCGGTCGCCCCGAGCCTGACCCCGCATGCACCTTAATAGTCCGCAAGGCCAGTCTGCTCTGGAGATCCTCAAACTGATCGAGGAAGTGCACCAGCCAGGCCTTGCTGCGCCGGCTCTGCTCGGGCTCCTCCGTCTGCAGGAAGTACAGTAGGTGCATGGCCTTGGATGCCGCCAGCCGCCGGCTCGGGCCCAGCCACTCGCCCAGGGTGTTGCCTCCAAAGAAGCCGGCCAGGAAGATGGGGTGGCCTGAGAAGTTGAGGACGGGGAAGGTGACGCGGCCCAGGTCCAGCGCGGGGTTCCGCTGCCACAGGTACAGCAGCGGGTTGGGTGGCACGCAACCGGCCTTGAACTTGGCGCACACCTCGTGGTAGCGGATCTGGGAGCCGTTCTCCACTGCCGCCCGCAGGCCCCGCACAGCCTGGTCCAGCCGGCTCACCTCCGCGAAGACCTCGGCGTCCAGCAGCGAGTCCGCGTCGCTCACCACCAGCACCGAGGCGAAGTTGGTCTCAGTGCTCATGCGGGAGGCGGAGAAGCGCCGCGCGTCGTCGGTGGAGAAGTGGGCCTGCACGAAGCGCCGTTCGGCCTTAGCAGGGCCGCCCACCGGCGTGTACTGCTCCTCCAGATTCTCCTCCTCTTCGGGCAGGAAGGCGAAGCCCGAGCCCAGCGCGGCCGTCAGCGCCATGGGCGCCAGCAGGAAGGCCCAGGGGTGCGTGGCCACGGCGCGGCCCAGCCGGCCGAACGAGCGCG